GCCTCCCCCTCCCCAATCTGTGTGCGGGGGGGGGAGGTGGGCTGTGCGCTGGGCTCTGTACCACCCTGCTGCCTTCAGACTTATGCAGGATACCATTTGCCTGCTGCCAGCGGATGGGCAGTGGCACTTGGCCAGCATGCAGTACACACATGGTGTCCCACGCAGGTCTGGAAGCAGTGGCAGCAGAAGCACAGTGCAGAGCCCAGCATGCAGTACACAGCCTACCTCTGCCCAGATCTAGGGGGCACATGCCCCCCATGCCCCACTGCCTCTGGAGCCACACGGGATGCCTGGTGGTGGCAGGCAGATGGCATCCCACGCAGGTCCAGAGGCAGCACAATGTGGTGCAGAGCCCAGCACAGCGCACCTCCCCCTGAGCACAGATCCAGGGTGTACATGTCCCCTATGCCTGCCCCAGGGTACACCCAGTGGAGGGAATGTTCCCCAAGACCCTGGAAAGGCCCAGGCTGCCTTTGTGCTGGCTCTGCTGCAGAGAAGGGGTGAGCCAGCCCAAGGGGAGCACCCCTGGGGAGCAGTGGGCTGCCACTGAGCTCTGCACCGCACTACCACTGCCTCCAGAGCCACACGGGATGCCATGTGCCTGCTGATGCTGGGCAGGCAGGAGACGCAGTGCAGGCAGCATGTGGCAGGCGCATGACATTGCACAAGGTCCCAGGCCAGCAGCAGCATGGTGCAGAATCCAGCACACAGCAACAGCCCTCCTCTGCCCCACAAACAGATCTGGGGGGCACGTACTTCCCATGCCTGCCCTGTGGTGCGCACAGTGGTGGGGAGCCTGAATGAGCTGCTCGGGCTCTATCACCCCAGCCCCTGCCTCTGCCCCCCTATCTCCCTCACTGTGGGGGGCCTTGATCTGCACCCCCCCCCACTCCCCCAACACACTTTACCTACTGGGTGCTGCTCAACACAGTGCTGCGTTCCTGGCCATGTGCAGCAGGCTGCTGCTGGGCTCTGGGTGTGTGAGGCCCCTCCCCCCCAGCCTCCCATGTACCACTTCCAGGTTGTCTGCATACTACTGGTGGTACACGTACCACAGTTCAAGACCTGCTGCTCTAACAGTAATCACCATTACTGTAACCACCAATTGCCTTCTCTTGCCTTCTTTCACTTTGAAATAAGGAAAAATTTTTAAACTAAGGCATCTTACTGTTGTCTCAAGTAGGGGTATAAATAATTAACCTGTTTTTTGCCTTTCTTGAGGAAGGTTGATCTTGTTCTTGTTTGAAGTCATGGTACCATGCAAAGAAAAAAGAAAAACACACACCTCCAAGTAATTCTGTAGTGTACTAATGCTCTCCTAACAAATTTAGTTTTCATATTCTGCTTTAAAAATATTGTACTCCTTTGAAAGAAAAGGTCTGTCAGTTTCCATAAGAACGATGGTCTTTGGGATATGAACCCCCCCCTGCAAGTGGCTGTAAGCTCTTTTGCTACATAATGTAAAATATCAAACTTGATTCTTGCTTGCATACTTCAGACTGAATAAACTGGAAAACTTCCATAAGATCGTCGTCCAGGAGCTTGCTACTCTTGAGGAGGATGCTCAAACTTTATCAGGCCTTGAGAAGGCCACTGTGGTGCGTATGTCGTCTTTTGGTTCTTCTGACGATCCATGGACTCAGTGTTTCTGCTTCCTGAATAATGTGGATGTCCTTTTGGAAATTTTTTTTTTTTTTAGGATTTTTGGAATAAGCAGTCCATCAAACTGAGCTCTTTCTGTGACAACCAAAAGAAAAGGTATTTCTTCCAGCTGTCTCTGTAGACATCACTTTGGCAGTTGGAAATGTCTGCACAATCTCTATTCTTTAGTCAAATGGTGGACTGTTGGTGTTGGTTAATTACCTTTTGCCTTTATTTTAGTCCATTTTGATCCCTGCACATTTGAAATCCATGACTAGTAGATATATTTTTTTTCTGCTTGGTTCCATGAATTGGGTATGGATGGCCACATAGCTTAGGGGTGCTTTGAATCCAAGGTGTCGGTACAGCTTCACTTCTATATTGAGATATACAAGAAATGGATGCCATTTATTGCATCTTATGATGCCTCATCTGGTGGATTTTTTTTTTTTTTCCTATCTGTATGTGGCCTCCTAGGCTAGGGACAGAAGTTACACAAACTGGTTTAAGTGATCAGAAACAGGTTTCAACCTGTAATAGCACATAAATTCAGTGCACGTAAACCAGTTTCAAAATGGCTGAAACTGATTTAAGATCATCCTGGTTGAATGTAATATCAGACTTAACTTATTTGGGTCAAACCGATTTATGCAGACCCCTTCCTGTTTTAAGTTAAACCAGAGCCCCCCAGCATTCCAGATGCTTTGCAGCTTTGGGCTGGGTTGTGCTGTCTGCTCCAAAAAACAGAGCTGGCCCTGCCCCTCTGCTGTGTAGCCAGAGCTCCGAGGGAGACTGCAGGCACAGCAGGATCTGCCTGGCTTCCCTTGCTGCTCAAGCAGGGATCTTCCCCCTACCTCCCACAGCACAGACCCCAGCCCCATGGACCCTAGGCATGTGGTATGCTAGCTAACGCTGAGAGGTCTGTCTCTCCAATGTCACTGGAACAGGCAGAAAAACAGGGTCCACTTAAGGCTTTTTTGGCGCTAATAAACAGGTCAGCTGGTAATGTTCCTCTGTTCCTTCCTTGGAAAAAGATGTTTAAGAAGAGCTTGAACTAATGAGAGGCTGTTGTTTTGTTGGTGGGCTGATAACGCAGTGTTTATCAGCCCTCTTCTGGTTTGCAGCCCTATCAGGTTTGCAGACCGTGAAGAAGCAAGGAGAGGGAAATTGAAAAGCTCAGTATCATCAACGGATGCATGCACTATACAACCCCTACCCTTTGCCTCCGAGTGCTAGCCTGGGGTCTGGCAACAATCCCAACACCTGAGCAGGGAAAAGCCTGGGACCATGCAGGCCAGGGTTGGGGTTTACACTCCTCCCTAATCAGAGCATCCTGCCAGAACCTGGCTGTGCCCCCCTGCCACTCTCAGCTCAGCATTGTTGAAGTGAAGGGAGAGCTGCTTTAGCACCCCCTGGCTTCTAGCCTGAGCCACTGCAGGTATGTGCCTGCGTTTCTTCAATCTAGAGGGACTGTCTGTACGGTTGCAAACCAGTTCAACCTAGGCAGGTTAAACTAATCTTCAAAGATTGAATCAATTCAGGCTTAGGCTTTTTGAACGTCTGTTGCTAGCCCTGGGCTTGGATGAAACCAAACTCCAGCGTACAAATCCAGTGCTCCAATCCAGTAGTTGATTGGAGGGGAGGGGGTGTTCTCTTGCTGGGAATTGATGTCACACAAGTGATTTCTCTTGTCTACTATGTTTGGGAGGTGTCCCTGAAGTATACTTGTATTATAAATGCCTGCAAAAGAAAGAGAGGTTTTCCTGAATGCTCAGGGCTCTTCTTGCTTCCTGCTATCCAGATGAGCATCATAAAGGCTTACTCAGGTGGTACATAGCTGTGCAAGCTTTGTGCAATTGCTCAATGGAAATCCAAGGGTTTTCTTGGCTGCTGATTTGGCATCTGAGCTGTAGTTAAGATGTACACATGTGCTTATGTATAATATGCATGAAATATCTCTGTTCAGCAAGATTATCCAAGTTTTTCTCTTTCCAGAATTCAGGCTATAGATTCAGTGCTGGAGGAAACTACGAAGAGTTTCAAAGACACTGTACAAAATGCCAAGGTGTGTGCTGTTCACAGGCAGCATTGGGTGGGATGCTGAGTTGGGGCACAAACATTAAGCAGATGAAGCATATACTGTTTTGTTGACCAGAGCGTTGAAGGTTTCCGTTAACTGGACAGCGCAAGAATATTACATTGGACATTGCCTATTCAGTTGGATCTTCTGGTTTTGTAAATTTACCTCTAGATTGCTGTGTAGTACTGTATGTTGCATCTGATCCCAGCCTGTGAAATGGCTTCTCACAAGATCTGTTGTACCATCAACATATACAGCGTAAAACTGTGAGCTTATTCTGAAACAGAATGTAAATCAAACTGTGGTATTGAGATTAGGGAATTTTTGTTCCCCAGCCCCCTTTCCAAAAAGTCATGCCAGTGGTTGTTCATTAAACAGTGCTATTAAGCAGTTTGAGAACACGTGTTAAAATTGTACAAAACTTAAGAATTGGTAATGTGCAACTTTTAGTCCATTTCCCAGTCTCTCCTCTTGCATTCCAAGCATGCAAGGACCAGGCACAACCCTGCCTCTGTCCAGTGCTCCATAGGGTCTTCAGCCATTCTCAGAGGACTGTGGCAGTAGGAGAGGGTTGGGGGCAAGGAGGGATTTTCATTCTTCTGACATAACCCCTTGAGCTCCTTGTTGGGGTAGTTATTCCTGGCTAAGCATCAATGAGACATCAAGCAAAATTGAGACGTCAGTCTTGAAAGCAGTGGTTGTCAACCTTGTTAGACTTGAGGCATCTCTTGGAAAATTCCAGCTCTTATTTTTATGTAGCCAAGAAACAAATGAACCTAATAAAGCAATTCTTCTGTTGCAAAGCACTCAGAAAAACCACAAGTGAGAATTTTTTCAACACTGGATTCCTGTTTGAAATCTTTTAGCTTATCTTGTGTTACAGGAGTTTGTGCACCTTTAACAGTGCTAATATTGTGTGACACCCTTAAAAGAATCTTGTGGCATCCTGGTTGAAAATTGCTGCTTTAAAGTGACAAAAATATTTATCTTATTGCCATTTTATTATTTAAAGACAATATTATAAGAGTTAGTCTTTTTTCTTCAAAAATATCTTTTAAAAAATATATATCTTCACAACTGCAAAAAAAAAAAATGCTTTGTCCTGTTTACAGTAGGAGATACTAAATGCTTAGTACTTTGCAGGATGATGGTTTTTAACTAAATAGCTTGGAATTAAAAATTCACGATGTAATTTTTTAAATGCTGTTCAGTGATTTACAGATGATGATGATTTTAATGTTGAACATTCACAAAAGTAACTTCTTCCTAAATTTATTACTTTCTTTCCACAGTATGAACACCTGGTGGAGAAGGTGGAAGAAAGTAGTAAGGTGGTCATTGTTCCATCTGATTAACAAAATGCTGGAATCAGACTGCAAACCAGTATATTAAGACTTCAACCACTGGATATAGGGTATATAGATAAACAGTGGATCTTGTAAAGGATATGCAAGATGGCCTTTCTCAATATCTTTTCACTCTTAAAATAAAGGCAATGCTATTACTGAGTTTTTAAAAACCTGACCATTCAAGCACCTTTTTTGTTTTGTGTCCCTTCCGCCCCCCCAACCCCCTCCCTGTCGTTGACCACAATTGGGAGATACTGAGGTCTGATGCAGTGTTAACTTGCATCCAGAGTAATTCTACTGACCAGCATGGGAGAAATGAGAACTGAATACTATGGTTTATATGACAAATTGATGCTGTATGACTTGCAGAAGGAATGTTGTTAATGAATTTGAGAATATAGCCTTTAGCGATTTGACTTCTGAGCAAAATATCACTCGCTTCTGGCAACTAATATTCCCTTTGTATCCATGTTTATAAAGAGAAGAAAATTATCTTCCTTTAAATAAAGATTTCCATTGTAGGCCCTGAAACCAGACATGAGTGCCCTCCTAAATAGAAACCTCCAAGGCCCAAATGGAAGGTCTAGAAGATGCTGGACAGCTTGCTTGAGGCCGCTTGCCATTCTTTCTCCACTGTGCTCTGGGTTTCTAACCCTGGAGTCTACATCTTCAAATGAGTTATTCAGTTGGGACTCATGGTAGAGGTGATATCTTTCTTTTATTAAACCAACTAGATTTTTTGCAAAAAAAAATGATTTAATTGCAAGCTTTTGGGTGCAAACACCATTCATCAGGCATCGAAGAGAAGATTGTAGAAGTTCTCTTGAGTAGAAAAAAAAGTTCATATTTCATAGGAGAGTTCAAGGTGGTAAAATATATGTTTGGAAAAAATAATTTTATATGCAGATTAGGCTCAGAAAAGTTGGAATAATCTGTTTACCTTGAAGTTGTTGGTAAGCAGGATGTATTCATATTATCTTCTGGTTATTGTGTTTCATATTTCACAGAGGAATCAATAGATGGGATGCTTCTCTGGGCAGGAATTTCTTATCTGGTGAGGTGTCTCTGAGTTGTGTTGTGAGATGTTCTGTGAACATGCAAATTGCCTTGAACAAAGGCAGGTGCAGTATCTCCAGTTTCAGGTGGTCAAAGTTGCTTCATCACTATGAAATTATGAAGATTTCATGTTTAAAAAAAAAAAAAAAGGCTAAAACTTGACCTCTTCCATGTGTTGGGTATCTAGGTTGTAGTTGTATTGGTCTAGATGAAAAAGCAATTGGGACTCATGGTAGTGGCGATTTTTATCTTTTATTAGACCAATTAGATCTTTGCAAAAAAAAAAAAAAAATCTTTAATTGTAAGCTTTCAGGTGCAAACACCCTTCAGCTTGCAGTTAAAGAATTTTTTTGCAAAAGTCCTCTGCCCAGAGGCGCTTCCCATCTATTGACTCCTCTGTGAAATATGAAACGCCATAACTGGAAGGAAATATGGCTACATCCTGCTTACCACCAAACAACTGCAAGGTAAACAGACTACTCCAACTTTTTCTCTGAGCCTAATCTGTATATAAAATGATGTTTTCCAAACAGGAGATTTTACCACCTTCAACTCTCCTATGAAATATGAACTTTCACTTCTACTCAGGAGAACTTTTACAGTCTTCTCTCCAATGCCCGATTTGAAGGGTGTTTGCGCCTGAAAGCTTGCAATTAAAGACATTTTTTTTGCAAAAATCTAGTTGTTCTAATAAAATATATCACCGCTACCACGAGTCCTGATTGCTTTTTCCTCTAGACCAATACAGCTACAACTTGTATACCTGATGTTATTCAGTCAGTGCAGTCAACTTGGAAGCTGTCAGCTCTAGAGAAGCTTGTACTTGTATCATAAGTGAGCCTACCTTGGGGCAAGAGAAACTAGTCTGAAAAGGACCCTTACATTCTGTTTTGCTTCCAAGTGAAGCTTGGCTTAATTGAAATTCCTGCTGAATGGAGGTTGTTATATTATAGCTGCCCTTTACAGATAAACTGCATGTGGTATTCCAGCTGCAATACTGGCACACAGTATACTCTGAGTATCTTAATTGATTTTTTTTTTTTTTTTTTTGGGAATGTAGCAAATTTGCAAGTTTCCCAATCCTTCATGTCTTTCAAAGTTGTGCAGTATTAAGACAACCCTTGAAAACCAAGATGGACCTGCTCTCTCGCAATCTTTCTGCCCCTAGGACCAGCTAAGGAATGGAAAGGAAAGGAACCTTCTTAAATACTTTTAAGAGTACTTCCTAAAACTGCTTCTTAGAAACCTAGGCAGTGTTCAGTGCAAGCAATGGAACAAAAGCCCTGATAACAGCAGGTAGGATGGGTTCCAACCAGTGGAAACCAGGAGTCAGCTGTGGGTGGGAGGAGACATCAAATTTTTTCTTAATTGTTTGCATTTTACTAATAAATGGTCTGTATGATGAATAGCATTGTACTCTTCTGGACCTTTAATTGTTCACACCTTCTCCTTGTGACTTCATGCTGCAATACTGTTACCATGCAAATTGGTAGTTTATTAATTACCTTTTGAGCAGTTGAAATGTGGATTATTTTATTTTTATTTGAGGACATCTGGTACCCTAGAACTTGTCTCATTTCATACAGCTCAACTGCAGAGACTGTTTTTAAATACTAGTATTAGATTTGAACACAGAAACCTTATCTGCTTAGGGTTCTAGCCAGCATTTTCAACCCAGGTGGAAGAACAGACTCATGAATCCCTGCTTCTCCTGACACTTTTAAATAACAAAGTAGTCTTGGTATGGGTTACCGTCAAACATGCCTTCTAGGTGCTTTTTTAAAGCTTGATTTGTGGCTTAAACAGTATTTAAATTGGAATTTGACACGGTTGTCATGGCAAGTTACCAATTGCTGGAAATAAATTAAGTGTACAAAGGTCAAACTTTATAAAACTGATTCTGAATATTGTAAAGACTGGACTCAAGAAAATATTTCCTTGCAGTTAGGGCAAGTTCATAACAGAAACTGCCAATGACCTCTTTCATCATAGAACTTGACTCCAGGGAGCCAAACTATTCCTGACTCTGAATATCATGCAGTATAGCAACAAAGGATGGTATGCTCTTGGTGCATCAGTCAAGATTGCACTCCCCTTTGATTACTGTAGCCGATACTCAGAAAGCAGTATCACTGTTCTAGTGGGAGAAGGTGGATATACCTAACCATTTTACTTGTTTCTACAGGGAAAAAAAAATAGAGCAAACTGCCCGTTGTCTTTCTTAGAATCATAGAATCAATGAGTCGGAAGGGACCTAGACAGATCAACTAGTCCGATTTCCCCCACCATGGGCAGGAAGGAGCACTGGGGGTGGCAGGGTCATAAGACCCCAGCCAGGTGACTATCCAGTCTCCTCTTGAAGATTTCCAGGGAAGGTGAGGGCACCACCTCTCTGGGAAGCCTATTCCAGGCTCTGGACATCCTTACCGTGAAGTAGTTCTTCCTAATATCTAACCTAAACCTATCCTCCGTCAGCTTGTGGCCATTGGTCCTGGTGACTTCAAGGGGGGCCCTGGTGAACAGACTTTCCCCGAGTCCCTGCTGCTGGCCCCTGATAAGGTTGTAAGCAGCCACAAGATCCCACCCCACAGTCTCCTCTTGCGGAGACTGAAGAGACTCGGGTCCCTCAGCCTCTCCTCATGGGGCTGGCCACGGAGGCCCTCAACCATACGAGTGGCCCTCCTCTGGACCCTCTCCAGGTTCTCCACATCCCTCTTGATGTGCGGCACCCAGATCTGGACACAATACTCCAGCTGCGGCCTGACCAGCACCGCATAGAGGGGGGAGCAAGACCTCTCTGGACCTGTTAGTGATGCCCCTGTTGATGCATGACAAGGTGCGGTTGGCTCTGCCTATTGCTTCATTGCATTGGCGACTTGTATTCATCCTGGAGTCAATCCTGACTCCAAGATCCCTCTCTGCCTCTGTGCTGCCGAGAGGGTCAGCCCCTAACCTGTAGCCATAATGCTGGTTCCCTCTCCCCAGGTGCAGCACTTCTTGGGGAGTTGATACAGAATTGTAAGTTCTATATTTTTCTGGTGTTCATAAAAACGTAGCGTATTGTGTGGTAGGTAGCTGTTCTCTTGCTATGCAGCGTTGAACATACTCTAATCTCATGACTTAATAGTACAGTTGCATGCATGTCAGGAATTTGAACTCTGGGTCTACAGAATATAGCAGATTTCTGAGGAAAGTTATCTTGTTGGTAACAAGCTTTTTGTATTTGTGTGTGTGTTTTTTCTTTCTGGATGCTTTGTGTTTGGACGGAAATAATTATGATCAAGGCTTTTTTTAACTTAAGTCAAGGTAACTATGCTGATGTCATAAGCTGCTTTCTGCGCATTAGTGAAAATTTTATAAGGGATTGAGGATTGTTGCCATGACTTCTGAAAACTGCAACCTGATTGCCCTGTTTCTTATTGCACAAACCTCACCATTTCGACGTCTTACCTGAACAAAAATTTTATAGGTATTAAATTTTAGAGAAATGTGCAGCCAGAAGGGAAGAAAGTTTTCATGCGATTTGTACAAAGCAAATTCCGTGGCAAGTAGTAATGAGTAAAATGCAGCTGACCTATTTATTGACACTTCTACAAAAGAGATTACTCAGTCCTCAAAATTGGTACTAAAACAAGTTTAGTCTTTTCTAATCTACTGCTTGTGGGTTGTTTCCTAAGTAGCATAGCTCAGTTACCTGCACAAAGCACAATCACTGTTGTATTCTTGGTTTTATTTTTAAGATGTAGTTTACATGGCTCTACTTTCACTTGAGATATCAGCTATGCTGGATGAAGGTTTTAGCTAGCTTTGTCAGAGGGATGGAGTAGATAGTTTGGCTTTCCCATATCTTTGGAATTATTTAAGTTTCATAGGGATATCTGTTGCAATAAATTGTTCATCTGCTTAAAAAGTGTCTTTGACACCCATGGCCTTGGTCCTGCCTGTCTCTGTCTGTGAATACCTCTGTGAAATAATAAATTAAAAATTAAAATTACAGACCTGGAGCGTTTCGCATATTGTACCTTACTACCTGATCATTGGCTGGTCAGACTGAAGAGTTTGTAAAGCCCCATTGTCATATTTCAGAAAGTCCGGGGAGTTAA